TTTATTATCCCGATATTCAACATAAATGTTTATAGCATTATAGCAAGATATAGATATATAAAAATATATATAAAAATATACATTTTTTTTTTATTATCCTGATTTTTGGTACAGTATATATAGTTTTCATTTGCAAATGATAAAACATATTCATATACTTACATATCAGTATATAGTATACTTATATACATATATTATTTGCGCTTTAATAATATGTATTAAAAAAAATGTTTCAATAATCCGATATCAAAATAAGAAAAGAAAAAAGTTTTTCTTTTTTTCTTTCTTTCTTTCTTTCTTTCGGTTGTTCTTTTTTTTTTTTGTTTTTTTTTTTTTTTTTTCTTTTTTTGTTTTACTTTTAGTTGTTTTCACTTTCCTCCTCCTGATTTTCTGGTTCTTCTGGTTCTAATAAACATTGTAGAAAGATTTCGGTATTTGCAAAAGTCTCTATAATTTCAGTATCATCAATGTTAAGATCTTGATAGTTAACATCAGATGCGCTGATATTGGACTCTTGATGACTAGAAACTCTAGAAGTTTCTCTTTCTGATATTAAAGAAGGATTCCTATAGGGTTCTAAACCAGAAAAAGTATACAAATACTAAATAAAAATACTTTATATAGATAGTATCTATTACTATTTTACAATACATATTAACAATTTCTTTCTGCTTTCCTTTATCAATTGCAGCTCCTTCTTCGCCAACTTCCTTTTGCTTTCTTTATTAACTTCAGCTTCTTCTTCGCCAACTTTCTTTTGCTTTTCTTTATCAACTTTAGCTTCTTCTTTATCAACTTTCTTTTGCTTTTCTTTATTAGTTTTTTTAATAATTTTATTAAATGTTTCAAAGATTGTTGGTTGGGCAAGTGCTTTTTGTCAAATTCAAATTTAATAATTTAATATGATCTTTAGTTGGATTATACCTAAGAAAAGCAATAGCTGGCTATTTTAGGCTTAGCTGGTTGGCTAAGCCTAAAATAGCTAGCCGTTGTCTTTTCTAATTATACCTAATTTTTCAATAGTCATTACATTGACAGGCCATTTATCTGACATTACAAAGTAATAATTTACTAATAATATATGTACTCATGGCTAACAAAAATGCTAATTCTAACCACTATGTAATGTTAGATAATGGCTTGTCAGTAAAATGACTATTGGAAAGATGAGAAACAATGCTATACTTGTGAATAAACTAGGAACTCTTTTTGTGCAAGACCGCGTATGATACGCTTTATTCGGGAAGTTACTAGGCCCGGCAATAGGTTCGTATTCTTCATCAGGATCATCAGGATTATCATTATCTGAGGAGTCAGCAAGATCATCAGAGTTTTCATTATTGCTATCGGAACTGCCTGTATCGATATCGGTAGATTGGAATATGAGCCAAACTGATGAATCAGAAGGTAGTGATGAAGTTCTATCTATTAAACCCGGGCATTTCTTCAGCGATATCTGGAGCATTTGTTTTACAGATGAAAATTCTTTGGCCGACCACAAAATTTCTTTTAACTGGAGGTAAATTGAAAAAAATTATTATTATTATTATTAAAAATAATAATAATAATA